CTACCTGTCGTTCCGGTGGAAATGTAATCTCAGTGGAGCCTTCGAGTTGATCGCTCAATGCGCACACGAATACAGGGCCAAGATTCACTGGCAGGTCGGTGACGGGTCCAAACCGTGATAGCTCCCAATAACATGTGTCATGATACTGTTCTAGTATCAGAGAATCAACGTCCATGGTGTCCTCGTTTGGGGCATTCAAAATAACTGATCCACGTGTGCCCGATATGATACCCAGAGCTGAATGCCACTTGATCTCGTCCGGTACGAGGTCAACGCAGAGGCGGCCAGTTGACGGACGGAACCAAATTGTGCAGTCGTTGCCCTCCTAGAACCATTGTCAGGGAAATTGGCTACTAGTCGGATGACAAGAATTACCAAAGACGGTTGAGAAACGGAGTTGAAATAATTTTGCACTTCCTATGACAGTTTCAGCAACTTTAAATGGACTCTGAGCCGTACATTCATACTTTGAACTCATTGATCTGCGGTCAAATGAGCATTCGGTGATCGGAAAGTGAGAGATACACATACAGATATAGAATGGATATATACGGCCAAAAAATGGGAATGGCGATAAAGTTCCAGAAAATGTCCGAAGGGTATCAAATCTAATTCAGGGTCAGCTCAGTGAGTTAGATTAGAAATATTCCAGGGCGGCGCACCGCCATGAAAAACTGCAGCGTGTATCGAAGATGAAGTTGTTATACCACACAGTTGGTGGAGATATGGATGGCTGACGTACATTCATCGATATTGCCAAAGGGCACGGATTATATATCACGCTCACCGAAGCCACGAGTACCGTGTAATGTCATTGCGCAATTGCTACCAAATAATGTGAATATATCGGGTCGCAGCAATTCAACATACCTCCTCTGCGCCGTGCCCTTGATACATGGCCACCGTCATATTCCCTTCTAGGTCCATGACTCTGGCAGAGTACACACAACGAACGGAACCTCGATCCCGTAGGCGGCCAACAGTGCGCATTCCATGCTCTAGTGCTATTTCTTCTTGAAGATATATATCTCCAAGAGGAATCGTTCGGAAGTCTGAGAAATACTATTCAGCATATTTTTGGAAGGTGTGACGAAAGTGATCCACCAGGAGTCACAATGGGTGGACCGGTTTGAATGTTCGTGATGCTTGTGAAGGTGCCGCCAGCTATAGTGAACTGCTGCGATCTGGAAAAGATGGCGCCGCCCCTGGATTACACGCCGTGAGATACGACTCACCCCGATTCGAGTAACGAGAAGCGCTCACGAAAGGAATCCAGGATCCTCCAGAGTCGAATCAAAGGCAGATCCAGGATCCGCATAGGGTTCGTCGTCCATTGATCGTCGTCGATGGTGATGAAAGGAGCAGAGATACTGAGCGCCGGGATGACAGCTTTCACTTAAAAAAAAACATCAGCTGTTGAGCTTTTGGATTCGGAATTCCCAGGGTACGCCGCACTCCCAGCGCAATGCTGTGAGCACTGAAAAAACAAGCGTCGCTGCACGAGCGCTGCTCCAGAGGTGAGCTCAGGCTTCAATTCGACTCCCACATTCACTAGATGGGTAATCTGGATTGCCCAGCGGCTGGATCCTCACTGAGTGGCTGGGAGCAAAACGTCAGACAACTTCAACGATGAGAAGTTGGAGGAGTCGACGTGCGTGGGAAGAACATTGGTCCCGGATTGGCCTGACAGGCTGCGGCGGCAACAGCCGGAGTCTTTGTTGATTTGGGAGCTCAGGCAAGACGCGCTTGCCTGAGAAGACGGGGAGTTCGTGTCACGGAGTGATTCGTCTTTTCTGCAGCCTGCTCGCGACGCTCACCATCAAGCTCACCATCTCCAGCGCCGTTGAGCTCGCATCGCAGATTTTCACGGCTTGAGATGTTCTCCACGCTTCCCCTGTATGCTGGCCATCTCTAGGGCCCTACTTTCTGGGCGTGCCAGCAAGGACCCCTAATGAACGGAACGTCGAGAAAAACCCACTCTCTGTTTCATTCGTACGCGGGGAGTCCATCCCCAGACTTGCCGGTGTCTGTCCGATTATTGGTGCAGTTGAAACCCCACCTAACATGTGCTCGGACTTGAGCAAAAATCGGATGAAGGTTCAATATGTTTCGACTGGGGTATATTCATTACTCTAAGGTCTTTCAGCGGAGCCTACAATACGGATGTCGAGGGCAGGCGTCCAAGTTAGACGATGAAAAAAATAGAAAAAAGTCCAATATCCACATCACATTCGAACGCAGGGAGTCGAACCCCGGACTGCCGATTTGTACCCTTGAATACACACAATACACAATACTCGGCGGTGTTCTGTACACCACGTCCGACTTTTTGAGAGCGAGAATGGGTTGGAGTTATGAGCCATGCTAAGGATAAATCGAAGCTTCCGCGCCAGTGCGTCAATGCTGAGTCGGGTGTCTCGAGTAGCCAGTAGAACTGAGGTAAGGAATGCCCACGATAATTAGAGTAATATTCTAACATGCTCACCGGCTAAAGCTGCTAAAAGAGTTGGAGGATCTGGCTCTATGTGCGAGCATGCCTAGGTTACTAATAATATACGAGCGATATCACTAGATTATTACTTTTTCAACCAGAGACAAGGAAAGGGGTACGGAGGAAATGAACGCACAATCAATCTGGGCGAGTTGTCTGATGCTCCCCGCCTGAACCTAGCATTAAGAGAGAGTAAAACACGATCATTCTAGTTTATCACTGCTGATCGCATTCGGGCATGGGAAGTCGAACATCGGACTGCAAACCCACTTCACTTGGAAGGAAAGGCCGTCATTAATTCTGTCCTGAATCCCAGAACAAACCCAGTTTACTTCATGAACGAAACGTTAAGGAGAGAAAAAACTAATCTATTTCATTCGGACGCGGGGAGTCGAACCCCGGACTGCCAGTTTGTACGTTCATTTCAAGGGTTACAATACCTCGCTGTGTTCCGTACACCACATCCGACTGCAGGGAGTTAGAATGGGTTGGGTGAGGAGCCATGCCTAAGGATAAATTGGAGCAGTCCGTCAATATTACTGTGGAGTCGGACTGCTTGAACTTGAAAAACTGAGGTACGGAATGCCCACAATAATCAGTATTGCTTGGTGCTTGGTGCTGAAGAAATTCGAGCGACTATGCCGTATCGTGGAAACCGATTATAAAAGTACTATTACTGCAATCGTTCTGGCTATCTTCAGCAACAAAGACCCCGACTCAAGTAACGTCGAGGGAAAAACATATAATACCATCTGTTTGATTCGGACGTGGAGTCCAATCTCGGACTTGCCCCATGGCCGATTATTTTCGCACTCTGAAATCAAAATAAATCCCACCCGACACGGGTTCGGACCTGATCATGAGGTGTTCTCAGAGCGAGCGAAGATCGAGTCGAGTCGGACTGAAGGTTCAATATTCTGCTCCTCGTCGTCGAGCGGAGCCTACAAAAGGGCAGGCGTTGAAACGTTGAAGGTGGATGCGCAGAGTCCACTCTGGGTGATGTGGGTGAGCCGTAGCTCAGGCCGCAGGGTCAGAAGAACGGAAAAAAAATGTTCTCCGAAATCCAACATTCGGACGCGGGGAGTCGAACCCCGGACTGCCGGTTTGCACCCTGGAATATACACAATGCACAATACCCGGCGGTGTTCTGTACACCACGTCCGACTTTTGGGACTGAGAAGGGGTAATTGAAGAGTGATGAGCCCTACTCAAGGATAAATTGGACAACCTGGATAGTTACATGTATATATATACTTACTAGGTGCACAACATATCCGATGATATGTGCAGGCCGAAATCGCCAACATATGTTCAGTCGTGTCGGATAGAAGGCTCAATATGTTCCCATTCCGACCGAGTGGACCTGACAAAATGGACATCGAGGAAGGAAAAAGAAATACATGCAGAATTCAACGGACGCGGGGAGTCGAACCCCGAACTGCTGGTTTGCACATTTTCATCTCATCCCTCACAATACCCGGCGATGTTCCGTACACCACGTCCGACTGTAGGGAGTTCTCCGAGTCAGAATGGGTGGGAGGGATGAGCCCTATGTACCCAAGGATAATTGAAGCTTCCGCGCCAAATGATCATTGTTCCTCGAGCAGACCTGACTAAATACACGTCGAGGGCGAGGGCAAGTGTCGAAGGTCGAAGCAAAAGAAAAATTCCAATATTCATGTCACATTCGGACGCGGGGAGTCGAACCCCGGACTGCCAATTTGCACGCTATATGAAACCCACGATACCCGGCGGTGTTCCATACACCACGTCCGACTTTTGTAAGTGAGGATAGGGAAGAGTCATGAGCGATAATTCAACAACGTGAATATTTACTACTGTAGGCGACAGGGCCTGTACAACATGGCCCATTATTTTTACAGCCTGGAATCACGATGAACCCCACCCAACATGGACGCGGACCTCAAAGTGACCGAGGACGAGGTCGGTCAGTTCAATAACGTATGTTTCGACTGTGCTCCTCCAGCGGACCTGCCAAAATGACGTCGAGGGCAAGCGTTGAAGCTGAACGATGAAAGGAAAAGAAAAAAGTCTAATATCCACACCGCATTCGGACGCGGGGAGTCGAACCCCGGACTGCCAATTTGCACGCTATATGAGACCCACGATATCCGGCGGTGTTCCGCACACCACGTCCGACTTATGGAAGTGAGAATGGGTAATTGAAGAGTGATGAGCCCTACACAATGGCAAGGATAAATTCAACAACGTGAATACTTGCTTACTAGGTAACAGATATTGTACAACATGGCCGATTATTTGTGCAATCTGAAATCGAAATTAACCCCACCTAACGTGGGCAGCCGGTGCCACTGGGTCCGGACCTGAGGCATTCTCATAGCGAGCGGCGGTTCATCGAGTCGGATGACGGTTAAATATTTTTTGACTGCTCCTCGAGCGGACCTGATTCAGATAAAATGGATGTCGTGGGCAGGCGTCGATGCTGGACGATGAAATGAAAACAAAAAATTCCGATGTCCATGTCGCATTCGGACGCGGGGAGTCGAACCCCGGACTGCCAGTTTGCGCGTTTAGTTATCCGAATCCCCACAATACCCGGCGGTGTTCCGTACACCACGTCCGACTTTTGGAAGTGAGGATGGGTTAGAGTCATGAGCGATACCTAAGGATAAATTCAACAACGTGAATACATACTTATGAGGCTCAGCGACTAAAACTAAAAATGGCAACACTATATATATAGCCGACCCCATCCCTCGGCTTGCTGAAAGATGGCGGTGCTTACCTAGGCCTACTCTATATATAATATTGTATCTTGGAGACCAATGACTCAATGATCGAGGCACTGCAATCGTTATTTATTGCCTGGCTATCCTCAATGAGGAGGAGTCTCGCAGTCGCTTTGGAAAACAGAGTTGTGGGATGTGCCGAACACAAAGAGTTATTTTGCAGATGTTTCTGGGAATGATACAGAGTGAAAGGCAGAGATCCTGTTGAACGTTGGTAGACGTTGGTTGAACCTGTACTGGCCGAATTGGCCGAGTGCCTGATCGGAGTGAGTACCCACGCTTCGGAGTCTGATCCGTACTTTTAATTTACAGTCATTGATCAACCTAGATCAACCCCGGGTCTGATCCATTCATCGCGCGCGGTTCGCCTTCGCCAAACCGTGATTCCGTGGTGGTCTTTTTGGCAGGCGGCCGCACCTGGTTGGCTAGTAGTACTAAAACTTGGTTAGATTGGCTTGGATTATCTTATCTCAGATCATCCCAGATTGGTCTAAGCGACGAATCTGTCAATTGGCGTCACTGATTGATCGTTCATTCTTGATTGGCCCTGCCCGGCTTCCCCGCGCCCAAAAGGGGATACCCCACCTATATAACCCTTCCGTCGCCCCTAGCATCGCTTTCTTCCTCCCTCCTCCTACATACATCCACACGAAAATCAATATGGGTTGGTTCGACCACAAACATGAAGGCCACGATCTGTCCGAGCCCGAAGCCTACGCCGCGGTCAGTCTGACTTCATCGATATCGATCTACACATGAATAGCCTCCTGACGACCGACTCCGACACTGCGACAGGTGACCGACTCCAGCCACCCCGAGCACCACAAGGCCAAGACTTCGCACGAGCTCATCGCCGCCGCTGCTTCGTTCGAGGTGCGTCGCTCTTTGACCGTTTCGCTCTTGCTGACAGGCCTCTTAATCGCCACCGCCAGGCGGCAAAGGCATACGAGAAGCACTGCGAGGAGAACGGGAAGCCCGCGAGCCACGCGCTCGCGAAGGAGCTCCTCGCCGGGTTCGCGGGTGCGTTCGTCGACCGCATGGTCGAGAGCAAGGGCGTGCGTACCATCTCATCTCCTGCCGTCTACTCTACTCTATCTTTCGAATTTGCTGATCTCTCCGGTAGTTGGACGCCGTCGAGGCGCAGAAGGCCAAGCATAACGGTGAGTTTGTATTCCTTTTTTTTTTTTTTGGGGGGGGGGGGGGGGGCGGGTCAACCGCACGCACGCATGGCTGATGCAACTTTTATTCTACAGCGAACAAGCACGTCGAGAAGAAGTTGGATGACTACGGGGATTACTGAGTGTTGTGTACGGCGGTCGAGGATTTCGACGAACGTGTATGTCTGAATCTGTAAAAAAGAGAGTTTGTACCATCGATGCAATATTTGAGTCCTAGTCCGAGCGAGGTCGTGCGTACAAAATTATCCCATCGGATGTGAACGGAATACGACATAACCGAAAGCACATTCACAACTCGTCGCTCTTTCCAAACGACAGACTCAAGACTCTTTGTCGCTGCTAGGCAATACCAAGATAGTAGTTGAGCACCGCTATCCCTCAACGAGCCGAGGTACGAGGTATAGCATTTGTTGGTCGCTGAACCTCCTCAGAAGTATTCATGTTGTTGAATTTATCCTTCGCTACGGTACCGCTCCTCACTCCTCCCCACCCCCCCAAAAAGTTCGGACGTGGTGTGCGGGACACCGCCGGATATTGTGGATTGTGATTCTTCTACTAGTAACACATCGTGCGAACCGGCAGTCCGGGGTTCGATTCCCTGCGTCCGAATGCGATATTCAGATGGCACGATTTTTTGGGTGGCGTTCATCTCGATTTTGGGCTGCACAAATAATGGACCATGTTCTATAGACACCGTGTCGCTGGGAAGTCAAAGTCGGACGTGGTGTGCGGAACACCGCCGGGTATTGTGAGTTTTCTTGAAGCAACAAACGTGCAAACTGGCAGTCCGGGGTTCGACTCCCCGCGTCCGAATGTGATGTGATATGTTATGGCATTTTTTTCTTTTGCCTTCAACGCCTTCCCTCGACGTCCGTTTTGCGAGGTCCGCTCGAAGAACACAGTCGCAACATTGAACCTTCCATCCGACTCGAGGTTCGCTCGCTCTGAGACCTCAGGTCTGAACCCATGTTGGCCGGTGGGTGGGGTTCATTTTCTTTGAGGCTGCACAGATATATTCACTCAGTTAAATCTATCCTTGGGTACTGCTCATCACTCATCACTCTTCCCCTATCCATCCTCGCTCCCAACTTAAAGTCGGGTGTGGTGTGTGGAACATTGTGGGGAAGATTTGCAAACGTGCGAACCGGCAATCGGGGTTCGACTCCCCGCGTCCGAATATGGTATCCGAGGAGATTTTTTTCTTTTTCCCTTTCAACCCCCACCTTCGAGTCGGTGAAGGCTTCGACTTCTTTTCCTTTTTCCTTCTTCGACCGCTCAGTCTGCCTCGACGTCTATTTTCTTAGATCCGCACGAAGAGCACAGTCGAAACATAAGTTATTGAACTGTCCGACCTCGTCCGACTCGATCTTTGGTCACTTTGAGGTCCGAACCCATGTTGGGTGGGGTTCATCTACATTTAAGGCGGCGAAAATAATCGGATATACTCTGTTGCCTAGTAAGTATTCACGTTGTTAAGTTTGTCCTTGCGTATCACTCCATTCTCACTCCCAGATTAATGTCGGACGTGGTGTGCGGCACACCGCCGGGTAGTGTTAAACTTCTTTGGCAACTACACAGTGCGTGCTGGCAGTTCGGGGTTCGACTCCCCGCGTCCAAATTACGTGGAGGAAGCAAGATTTTTTCTCTCCCTCTTCCCCTTCCCCCTTCGACGCCTGCTCTCGACGCCTGTTTCGTACAGCAGCAACGATCATGTCCAGTCGGAATATCCTGAACTGATATCGACTCGACCTTCGCTCAAGAACACCTCAGGTCCGAACCTAAGTGTGGGATTCAGGCTGAAAAATAATCGGACATGCTGCCAGTGTACAGTCCAGTAAGCATTCACATTTAGCTTCCCCCATCCTCACTCCCCAAAGTCGGACGTGGTGTACGGAACATCGCCGAGTACTGTGAGGAATACCCCACAAAATGTGCAAACTGGCAGTCCGGGGTTCGACTCCCCACGTCCGAATTCTGAGATTTCAGGAAAGTTTTTTTTCCCTTAAGCTTTCATTGTCCACCTTCCACCTTCTTCGACCACTCAGTCTGCCTCGACGTCTATTTTCTTAGGTCCGCTCGAAGAACACAGTCGAAACATAAGTTATTAGCCACTTTGCGATGCAGCCATTGGAGCCACCCAATGGCTGATTTGCGTTGCGTCATCTGGTGGCTCCGCCCGCCAAAAATACCCGCGGGTGGCTCCGACAGACAGCCACCCGCGGGTATTTTTGGCGGGTGGAGCCACCAGATGACGCAACGCAAATCAGCCATTGGATGGCTCCAATGGCTGCATCGCAAACACTCTATTGAACTGTCCGACCTCGTCCGACTCGACCTCCGCTCGCTCTGAGAACACCTCAGGCGTTAGGTCCGGACCCATGTTGGGTGGAACTTATTGAGCTTTCAGGCTACAAGAATAATGGACCATCTTCTATAGATGCCGTGTCGCTGGGAAGTCAAAGTCGGACGTGGTGTGCGGAACACCGCCGGGTATTGTGAGGAATACTCCAAACGTGCAAACCGGCAGTCTGGGGTTCGACTCCCCGCGTCCGAATATCAGATTTTGTGCGTTATCTTTTTACTTCCTTTTTCCTTCCACCTTCTTCGACCTTCGAAGCCTGCCCCCGACGTCTACCAGGGCGAAGGTTGAATTATTTCAAGTCTTGAGAAAGGGAAAATTGTCCACATGTGCTATCCCGGGTGCACGGCTACGCGAACCGCCGTGGCCGTACATTTTTTTATATTCCGGTTGACTTTGTGGATTTTGCGAGCCGGACAGACCAGACCAGGAATGAAGCCCACTGCGTTCTTGGTATATTCCGAGCGTTTGACCAGATCGGGGTTGACACCCGTGTGAGAACAGGTGGATATTCCGTGTACAACCACAAGACTAGTAGCTGGCTGATTCACGATGTGTTTGAACACCGGACTAGGGCGAGGTAGATCCTTATAAGTACTGGGAGGAGGCGTCCGTCAGATACCTAGGAACACAACAGTGCAGGCGGGAGTTGAATGTTCACCGTACCTTGCAGATTCTCAGAATCGATTCCGATTCTCTGGCGCCGTTGCCTGAAGGGTACGGGTGTCGCAGGAGTTAGCAGCGGAATAATAAGGTTGAGCTGATGTGACGGACTGGTACGTGTTTTGAGCGTGGCGATGAGAAAATTGTTCTGCGTATACCAGCAATACTGACGATGAATAAGGACGCACGGTGTCTCCGCCAAGGGCTGATATCGAGAGCACGAAGTGCGGACCCGAAATGACATTGAGATGCTTCATGTTACCTGATATTTTCAACAGAAAGGTACTTATCGGTGCTAGATGTGAGAATACGGATGACGGTAATTCAAATTGAAGGGCCGTCAGCTCTCGAACAGCAGCAACGGCGATAGCTGCTAACAATTTCATATTATGTCAAACTTCGGGTGCGACAACACCTCCTCACTTGGCGTTTCCTGGGCTTGGGGCGACGCGGACACCTTACAGCACTTTCTAGTGGCTATCTCCACCGCTCAGATATATTTGGTTTTCGGAGAAAATGCCATGGAACAGGTACACGCGTCCTGTATACTACTAGCTCGTTTATTGAATCGAGACAAATTCTCGGCCGAGTGAACCCCAGCCATGGGAAAAATAAATTGTAACGTAATGAAAGCTCCCGAGTACATGTACATATGCCGATAACTTCTCGTTGAAATCAACTTGCCCATGGGGGTGAATAATATTGTTACGGTCTTTGAAACACTCGTACAACACGTCCGGCGACAACCAACTCCATATAACCAAATTCGACCGAGAGGAACGCTGACGAACCTGGGGCCGTCACCGGTTGACACAGCTCAGAATATGTACCGACACAGGAATATTTAAGGCCGAGTCGAGGGTTCTGCATCCCATCTCTCTGTCCCCACTACTAAACATGTTCTCCCGCGTCATTCAAGTTTCGCTGCTCATTCTTCTATACTTCAGCTTCACAAGAGCCCTGGACGTATGTATTTCACCCCGCCCCCCCTCATCCAACGTTCTGCAACGGAGCTGAATTCGAAATGGCTGTAGGATTTTGAGGAGGACGATGTCGAATGTGAACAAGAACCGCCCTCTTTCCAAGACGATTTCATGTACAATGATCAGACGCTGCTCGCTCCGGCAACCCTTGGAGACAGCTTCCCTGTCCGTCCGGTTTATATGCAGGATAACCTGGCTCCCACACCCGGCGACCCTGTTCCCAATCAATTTTTTGTGCATCTGAATCCCGGGGTAGACCGCACAGCCCACATGGCCAGAGTTCGCGTTCTGATGGCTGACGGGGATAAACGCGATGGCATGACGTCCCGGGTGGTTCTCGAAGGACCCCTGTTCGAAAAACTTTCCATGTATGGCGGAGTCTTTGGGCCCTCCGTCATCGATGCAATTAGTAAATCGCCGGATGTGAAGAGCGTGGCTCCTAACACCTGGACGGAGTTGGATTCGGCTATCCCGACCCCGATTGTTGGGAACGCTACGATGTTGGTGGAATACGAGACCACACAGACAAACACTTGGTGCGAAATCAAATTCGTGTCCTCGGTAAACTTTGCTTGACGATTAGTTAGGGCTCTTCATCGCCTTAATAACAAAAATAGACCAGTCGCCATGACCGGTGACCGGTCTGTCGACTCTCTAAATTGGCCTTTCAAAAACTACCGCAATGCCGGTCAGGGTATTAACGTATGTGGCTTCCTATATTCAGGATTCGTTTACAGTAGTGACACACTATACAAGGTATATATAATCGATACTGGGGTCAACGACCACACCGCTTTGGCGGGTCGAATCACACGGCTTCTTGGTGCGAATGTAGACCCGAACGCGCAACCTAATGAACTTGACGATAGTTCCGATTCACATGGCCACGGTGTATGTATACTCATTGATTCATTCTCATTCCTTACACAACTGAGGGAAATGCAGACAAGAATGGCAGGGATTATTGCTGGTCAACAGGTCGGGGTGGCCAGATCCGCGAATATCATACCTGTAAAGGCGGGACGTACTAACCACGTCAGCCAAATGGGTGTCATCAATGGTCTCAATTTTGCTCTTCAGCATGCCACACAGGCCCATGGAGGACATGGTGTCATCAGCATCTCCGTCGGCATGCTCAAGAACCAGCCGGATAACATGCTGCAAGTGGTTCAAGCTGTGAGTGAAAGAATGGAGCTGTGTTGCAGGCTTACATGGAAGTGTGTGGCAGGTCCTTGCAGCTGGATTGCATATTGTCAATTCAGCGGGGAATGGTTCAACAGACCGTTGTGCAGTGCGAATTGGGACTCGCGGTAACTTGTCGAATGATCTATGTATGCAACCACGACTAATCGGGATTGACAGATGGACCTGCGGGACGTGGACCTATTACAGTTGGGAACATGGATACTGACGACTATAAAGTCTCGGATTCGAACTACGGGGCTTGCTTGACAGTTTTCGCACCCGGCAACAGGGTGCTAACCACTGACTGGAACAATGCTAATGTCAGTTTTGAAATTATCTCACTATCTAGTAATCCGTGAACTCTTTTTCCAGAACTTCATCCAGGGATCCGGAACGTCAGAGGCAACGGCCCATACCTCTGGTTTAGTAGCAACCCTACTTTCAGCCGGATACCGTACCCCTAGGGAAATAAAGGCCAAAATCATCTGTCTTTCTGTCAACGTCCCCAGGATTATTGAGAGGCTCGAGGACCCACGAGGAACCACCATCCGTCTCATCCAGGCTCCCCGCCCCCTGTTCGGTTGAGGCTGATAGGTTACTAGGGTATTCCCGACGTCCAATTC